TCTCTCTCTCTCTCTCTCTCTCTCTCTCTCTCTCTCTCTCTCTCTCTCTCTCTCTCTCTCTCTCTCTCTCTCTCTCTCTCTCTCTCTCTCTCTCTCTCTCTCTCTCTCTCTCTCTCTCTCTCTCTCTCTCTCTCTCTCTCTCTCTCTCTCTCTCTCTCTCTCTCTCTCTCTCTCTCTCTCTCTCTCTCTCTTGTCAAACTACATGCTTAACTTTGCACTCTTGTTGCATGTATGTTCACTACCGCAGGCCTTGAGCTTACTACTCCGCATGAGTCAAAAGGTTGGCAGCTGCAGACTACATTGGTTGACTGTTTGTTTGAACACTACAGCACTTGCACTTGTAAGCAAAGTAACCACGATTTTAACGTGGTAGCGGAGCTGAGATCCTAAACATAGGGGAGCTCCAGTAAGCAGTAAGTACTACAACAACAGAGCAACAGCAGCTACATGCCAAACTACTACGACATGTCAGGAGAAGCAGCATCAGCCTCAGCACAACAAACTACAGGAGCAGAGAACGGGCCAACAGCAGACACAGTAGGAGCCACGACTACGGGAGCAGGAACAGAACAAGACAACGACGTTCAGAGACTACATAGATACAAACTGCCACCACCCTTCTTCACTGGTGACTACTCCCAGTATGAAGAATGGCTGTTCAAGCTACAAGCATACCTCGGCCTCATAGACCGAGACTTCGACCTGGTGCTACAACTAGCACAAGTGGCTACACGACAGATTGAGGACACAGACATCAGAACACACATACTCGACCCTACACAAGCAAGCAAAGCAGTAGACCTCTCCAGAGATCTACACTACATCCTCATCAACATCTGTCAGGGAGCAGCAGCTACAGTAGTAAGGCAAAACCGCTACAACGCAAACGGATGTGAAACACTACGACTACTACACAACAGGTTCAGCCTACCAGTAGGAACAAGGAGCGTTGGTTACCTTACCAAACTACTGGAACCTACATTCAACGAAGCGCAGTTTGAAGAACAATTTCTACAATGGGAATACGACATCAACCGCTACGAGAAAGACAATGGAACAGCACTACCAGATGGAATCAAAATAGCAATACTACTCAACAAAACCAAAGGAGCGCTGCAGCAACACCTCCAACTGCGAGCTGGACAGATCACGAACTACATCGAGATCAGAGCACTCATCCTGGACTACTACAAAACGATTTCAGCCTTCACTAGATCTACTTCAGCAGTAGGAACAAACTACAATGGAGGAACTGCACCAATGGATGTTGACAACATATGGAGGAACGGAAGAAGCTACAAAGGCAAAGGAAAAGGAAAAGGCGGCTACAAAGGAAGCAAGAGCAAAGGCAAGTACAGAAGTAAAGGACACTACAAAGGATTCGACAAAGGCAGCAAAGGAAACTACAACAAAGGAGGATACAACAAGAGCAAAGGAAAAGGCTACTCAGGATCCAAAGGATATGGATCAAGCAAAGGCTACAAAGGCCAAGGAAACTACAGCAAATCAAAAGGAAAAGGAAACAACAACTACACAACATGCCATCGATGTGGCAAGCCCGGCCACTGGGCACAAGACTGCAGAGTGCCGGTATGGCACATAGGAGAAGGAGAAGAACTACATCCACTAGAACAAGAACAAGCAGATCACGACAACAATGATGAACTACCTCAGGATGTGAACGACACTTGGGACTGGTACTACGAAGGAGAAGAAGGACAACATGAGGTGAACTACATGGAGGAGAACTGGAACGACTACGACTATGACAACAGCTGGGATTGGAATGACAACAGCTATGAGGACACAGCGAACTACATTGGAGGCATCAACGAGTCACACCTCACCATTGGACACATCAGACAAGCAAAATCACGACTACACAAGCACAAATCCAAATCACTACTTGGCAAGAGAACAACACACACAACATCATGGAACGACCACAGCAAGAGCTTTCAACAATTCCTACAAGAAGACACCACAAAGCTACACTTCGACATAGCAGCAGCAAGACAACAACAAAGGAACAAGAAGATTGAGGACACTATCACCCACTACATCATGTACTCCAACTTCAAGTCATACCACCACCTGTTGATCGACTCAGGAGCATCTACACATGTTTGCCCAAAGGACTACGCACCGGATCTTCCACTACGACCTTGTGGAGAATCAGTTCCACAACTCTACACGGTTACCAACAAGAAGATTCCAGTCTACGGCATCAAGTACGTTCCCTACAAGCAGGACAACTTCAGGATCATGATACCCTACTACGTTTGTGATGTGAAGTATCCAATCCTCAGCGCATCAAGACTACTTGATAGAGGATATGGACTTGACTTCACTCCACGACACTGCACCATCACACATGGACAACAACAAGCACACCTCATAAGACACTCAGGACTTTTCTACCTACGAGCAGAGAAGATCGACATTCCTACAGGATTCGACATCTACCCAATGACTACAGACAATGGAAAATCCATTGCTGTGATTCAACCTACAGAGAGAGCAGCACAACAACAAGAACAAATCGCACCAGGACTACGACAGATCCTTGGTGGAAACACTGACTACTGGAAACTTGATGGTGACTACGCCATTAGAGTACACAAACGACCACGCAAAGCACTATTCACACCACACAACAGTGGTTGCCCAATACCTGAAGAAGAACTAGATGATTGGCGACTAACCATCATCAACAGACAAGGGCAAGAGCAAGAACAACTACAAGAGAACCCAACACAACTTTCCAAGCAAGAACTACAACGAAGACTAGAAGGTGACAACTGGACTGGAGAAACCAGATTCAGAAGAAAGATAACACCTACACGCAGAGCAACATCAAAGACCACACCAACAAGGCAGAGCTCACAACCACAACGGCTAATGGACACACCACCAACCAGATCAAAGATCCAACTACGAGCGCCACAAAAGATATGGAGACCCAAAGCAGCACCTTCTACAAATCTTGACACCACAGAACCAAAGGAGACAATACACAGACCACTCACAGCACGGGAGGATAACCAAGACTACTGGGAAAGACAAGGTGAACATTGGATACGACACCACACAACGCTTAGAACAACTCTCTTCACTCCAACAGATGGACCAGGACATCCACCAATCAGCACACTCGAACCTCACAGAACTACAATCACTCACAACAACTTTGGAGAAGTTTCACAACGCAAAGATGACTGGACAGTCATGGGCAACGCAGCACTACCATTTCAATGGAAAGGAACAACAAGGTTTACCGTGAAGAAAGACTACGAGTACATCCAGGAGAACCACGATGAAGAACAACAACACGAGCATCATGAAGCACACAGAGCAAGAGGACTACGACAACCACAGCAGCCCACTCCACAACAAATAGCAGAACACAACCTTACACATCTACCATACAGAAACTGGTGTCCAATTTGCGTTCAAGGCAAAGGACGCCAAGACAACTACAAGAAACAACAATCACGACAACCTGTCATTCAAGTAGACTTTGCCTACATCAAGTCACAACAAGACCCAA